TATATATATTCTAAAAAGGTGAAAAACACACATACACAAGAAAGGAAAGGGGTAGGGGAGCAAAATATGGCTTAGGTTTAATTTATCACGAGGCAGTTCACATATGAATAGATACTACACACCTGAATTGTTTTCCTACTTAATTATTAGGCAGTGGCTGTGAGAAGCACTTGGGGAAAGTCCCTGTGTCTATTCAAGTTTATGGTATGAAAAAAGTAAAATTATGCATTTGATATACTAAGCAAAAAGAATGTCCTCAAGGGGCCATGTGGGAAGAGTTCTATGTTCAGAATTAGAGGATGATGGTTGGTTGTGCAGAGGCATGCCCAAATATAAAGTAAACCAAGTAAATGAACCATGTCAAATGAATTAATATTATTTATTATTGAAAACCTTTAATAGCACATACATCTAACTTTGTGCTGAATGTACCACTTTCTGTGGTGCAGTATTTAATATTTGTATAGAATCAAATATAAAGAAAACTTGACAAAAATGTAAAATAAAAAGGTATGTAGATAGCATTTTATATTTTTGGTCATTTTATTGAATGATGGTGAACCTAGGAGCACGACAGATCCAGAGCTCCATTCTCCTTCACTAAATCCTAGCATTGCTCTTGACAAGGGCATTGTATATGGCTCCTGTTGGTCAAATAACCTCCAACAACTAAATTCAATAATAACTCATTAATGAATGACACGACACAGGTCTTGGATTTTTAGTGGCCACAGCAGCCATTTTTATTATTTAGTGCCAAAGGCAAATGTAACCATTGTAACAAATTGTAACAAACTAACTGACCGCGGGAGTTAAGGTCCTTGACGTGATATCCATCACCAAAAATACCCAGTATCTGCCCACACGGCCCCCAGCCGCACAACACCGCCTCGGGGACTTGTAATCTTACATCAGATACTAAGTAACTAGTGATGGACCCGTTAAGACAGGGATGCCATACCAAAGATGGCTCCCCACTGTCACTTAAACCTCAAGCAAATATGTTGCACCTCAAGGACCCTAATACCCTGCCCGGCTGCAGTGACAAGACAACACGATAAAACAGAAAGGAAAAAGGACAAAGTAGAAATAAGAGAAACACAAGGCAACAAATCAAATATGACCAATGGGGCGGGAGGGTGGGAAGCTGCTTCCACGCTGATGACCCCACCGAGACTGACCTTTTCCTTCCCAAGGGGCCACCTATCCTCCTCCTCCCGGGACCCTGACGAATCAGGTAAGTGACACCACCCTTAAGATAATAATTTAACCCTAGCTAAACCCTGTTGGCCTCTTCAAGACCCTGTCATGTTGGCCCTACACAGACGCCTCCGTCTGCTGTTCCTGGCCTGACTTGAAGTGACCTTTTGCTATTTTGCACTTCATGTGACAGTACTTACCCCAGGACACCTGCTGGATGCATCACCACAGTGAAAATCAGCCAAACCGACCACAACACCACCATAGAGAAACTGGCAGGGTTTTAATATCAGGAGCGTGAAGCTGGGAACCAGGAGGCCTCACTCAACTCTGAAATGCTGTGCTCTGAATCATCTGAGTATACGCCGTTCCACCTGGATAAGATTTCTCCCCTAGACACAGCCTTCACAATGCAGCCCCTGAATCCTTTGTGCTCCCCTGTGCATCCACAGCCAGAAAAGGTAAGCAAACAGACAGCATAAACAGAGCCATTGCTCTTAGAAATTATGGATGCTATTTGTGATTGAAAAGTCTGGCTAGATGCACAGATTGAACTCGTACATCTTAACTCCCTTTTAAAACAAGATGTACAGACACTATGGGAAATAGCAGTAGCCACAGAGACTTGGCCACCACAGTCAGAAAGTCTGCTTAAGATATGGTAAACTTCCAGCTCAAACTAGATGATTTGAAGGATAGCTTGATGTGCAATAACTTGACCCACTGCTCAAGGACAATCAACAACTGGATTACTCCTTTAAATCTCTCTATTTGAACTTTGCAAGTCATGCCTAGCTGGCTTCCTATGTAATAAATGTAAACAATTACTACGGTATGCCCACATACACTGGACATTTTCGATGCAGCGCTGGAAGCAGAAATACTACCTTGCTCAATGTGTGAGGTACATTGATTAATACAGAATACGAAATAATACCTAAAGTCCTTGCCAATATAAATAACAGGAGTAACATGTCTGGTGGGTAGTGGGTTGTCAAACAAGCTTTATACTTAGATGATCCACTAATAATCATTGGTCTCCTTGGATACCCCCAAAGCCTTTAACAGTGTCGAATAGTATTGCTTACTTAAAAGACTAAATCTCTTTGGCTTCAGGCCTCAGTTGATAAATAGGGTGCAGCTACTTTACACAGGTCTAGTGGCGGGTACACAACTGCATCTCAGCACCTTTCCTATCAATTAGGGTACACCCCTGCTTCCA